TCGAGCAGACAACCAACCACGAATGGCTAACGAGTCGAGGCTTCTCCCGCCAGAATGAATATCCAATCTGGCTCTTTCCGTTTGATCATGAACTTTGTCCTCGTGTGTACGATACGCGTGAAAGTTCGACGGAGGGTAGTCATTTTCTCTTAAATCGATCCCTTGCTTTTGTCTTTTTCTAGATGCGATTCGTGTAAAACTTGGAATCGTTGATGAGGCGATGTAAACATTTTCGACAATTGAAGAGATTACTTTAGAGGAATTAATTTAAAAGGAATGAAGTTAATCAGTTTGACTCGACCAAATGATTTGAAGATGCGAATTGCAGTAAAAATTCCAAGAACTCAAATCGCGAGGCAATAAAGACGACAGATAAACGACCGAAGGGAAAAAAGCAAACGCGACGTCACCGCGTTCGTCATCGTGGACTCTTCAGCCCGTTACTTTTTAACGTCAAGCCCCTGTGGGCTTACAGTCGAACGTTCTCGCTCGCCTTGGACCATATCTTTATAGCGATCGAGTTCGCGGGGCCTCATTTAAAATGGAACTGTCTACGCGGCGCGCCGGCTGCTCAAACCCCGAGCATTATTATCGTAGTATCTTTGTCATGTCTTTTGATTTCTGCAACGAGGGAAGTCCTGGTCGTCAACTACACGGCGGAATCACCTGCGAAACGAGAATCGAGAATTTATAGAGGTAGATTAACGCCACGATATCGTAAATCTCCCGGTAAATTCGCAATGGCTCGTCTTCAATATCACGCGTTCTCCTGGCGGCAAGTTCAATTTTTGTATGATACACTTGCTCTTCGTCTTTTTCAGATAGATGTACAACAGGTTTCTGCGATATAATAACAGCGACAGTCATTATCTGGGTTTTGTGCACCAAATTCCTATGTATTTGTTCATCTTTCTTCGCTGCACGAGTTTCTCTAACAATAGTAACGGCAGTCATCATCAAGTTTACTCGAGAATTATATCCTCGAGGAGTCATTGAATTATTACAGTTTTCTTTATTTTATTATTCCATACACGATTTTTCGTGTAAAGTAGATACTGTTTTTCGAAAAAGATCTCAGATTGTATTATTTGCAACTACATAGGATATAGAAAGAAGAAATAATTGTTATAACTAGTTTGGCGAAATTAACTCGTTTCAATCTATAACCGATAAAACACGTACGAAAATCCTAGAAATTTATCCTCTTGTTGTAATTACTTACACGTTACAAGATACACGTGTATCTTTTTATTAACTTGTGAACATTTCTACGTAATCAAATAATCGGCGTACGAGTTACATTTCAAGTCTAGAATTGGACATTCGCATAGATTCATGTTCTTTGTCGTATTAACACAGTAGAGGAACGTACAAAGAGAGTTAGTTTAATATAGAACGAACGTTACGGGGGTGTTGCGTACGGTCAAGGCTCGAACAGCTATCAGATCTTTCTCGTTCACCAAGAGTTCACCGTTCGGTCTTTCTTAACCGGTCTCTTCTTTCCTCTCTCTCTCTCTTTCTTTTCCTCTCTTCGATTCTCGACTCTCGATAAGGGACTCGAGACGGCTGGATCCTCGGTACAGCTAAATTGCTCGAAAACTCGCGACGCGAGAGAGAATCGAATGGGCATCGCTAGTCTCTCGGCAGGGAGCTGCCTCGTCCCTGCTGAAGTGGAGACTCGAAGTACCGGTTCTTGCTTCTTCCTCTCGCTCTCTCGTAGCCTGCCTTTCTCCCTCGCCGTCCAAACGGAAGAAAGAAGGTGGAGAAGAAGCGAAGAGAGAGAAGGACAGAGGACACTTCCTCCGAGGAGGGAGGAAGCGACTCGACGAAGAAGAAAGACGAAGAAAAAGATCGGCACGCCGGTCACGAAGCTCGCGCAGGTATTTATAGCACGGCCCCGGACCTGTTCGAGGGATTTGGTCCGAGAATCTCACGTATACGAGTCGATTCTTTTCTGTTCGAAGGTTGCTCAACCGCGAACAGGGCCCGCCATTTTGGTTCCTCTCCAGCGCGGACCCACTTGTTACCTTCGACTTTGTGGTGTGACGCAACCGCTTGCGTAAAACCGTGTCGTTAGAAGCGTTCTCGAAAAGCTTGGCCCACCCGTCTCTCTAGTACCGTGAAATCTCTCTCTCTCTCTCTCTCTCTCTCTCTCTCTTTCTTTCCGATTGTAGAAACGCGTTTCGTCCGAGGGACGTGGCTTTCGCAATTGCCTCTGGTAGCGGGAACGAAGGACGTTTGAAATTCTAATGATCATTGATTTGACAAGTGTCACGTATTATATCGACACTCCCGAAGATTGACTCTGATTAATAGTAATTTACTAGTATTTAGTATTTTGATTTTTCTCGAAGAGGTGAGGAATTGAGCAATAGTACGTCTATTAAGAGACACAATCTTCTATCATAGTGGATTTAGTCACGAGTTAACATTTAGTCAAAAGTTCACTTCAAGTCTTGACTCGTAATGGAGCAACATTGCGTTAACACAATGTTTCATTCGTAATTTCTTACTATCGAATTTATATCATCGAGTTCTTAATATTGATGATGTAAAAGAAAATGATAAAGCTTCACGATGTCTTCCATATAAAATCCCGTAATTTTATGAAATTTCAAAGAGTTGAACTATTTATAATATTATGATAAACTGTTAGTTGGCCTTTAATGAGCTAAACTTGAATTTCATTTCGTAAATAACTTTGTTCCCCGTCGTGTTACATTTTCATGATATAAGATATAAACAGGCTCATACGATTACAACTTTCAAGCCACTAATTGGTCGATAATCGTGTGAGTGAGAAAAAAATTATTCAGCAGAGGACTGTTCGGCGAAAAATAACATTGCTCTTGCAATCTACGGATTTTTATGCAATTTATAAAAGTACACAAATATAAAATTATCTATTTCTTTAATATTATATCTATAGAGTCTGCCTACAGATTCAAAAAAGAAGAGAGTTGAATAGCCGTAAACTCGCATTATTGCAACTCTTAGCTCTCTAATTAATCACCAGTCAGCAGTTCGTCAGAAGAAATTTATTCGCTATTTAAATTAATGCTCGAAAGCGTGAACAGAGATGAAAACGCGGAGCGGAAAAGCCTTTCCTCGTGATAGTCGCGCGCACGTGCTCGTAAAAAGCGGCGCGGCGCGGCGTGTCCTCGCGGCTGGTTTCCTGGTTTCCGCTCGAATGGCTTCGCCGGCCGACGCGATGTCCTCGTGCTCCATTCGCAAAACGCAGTCGGTGTCAAAGTCAAGAGAACGCAGACACGAGCGAACCCGGCGATAATAGAGAGAAAATTACAAACGCGGGCAGACACCTCGAGCCCGGCCCAACTCGATCAAACGATTCGAAACCGCGTGTAATTGCTTGCCAGACTGTCCTTGAAGGGCGCTCCTCCTGGTTGCGTTTTACTCGTCGTAAATATCATTGTCGAACGATGGAAAGTTGCACACTGAAACGTGTAGCTCGTTCGTTCGTACTTGTACGCGCAAGGTTATCATTATTTTATATTCAGAGTGTCGTTCGATCGAGTAACGCGCGTAGCTGTAACGCGAGCTTGAACAAGGTGGTGAATGTGAAAAAAGTAACCGTAAAGCGAAATACTTTGTCGATATTTGATAAAAATGGGGAAAATTCCGTACGTCGATTTTTGACGCTAATTTCGATTGTTAACTTTCATGAATTATCATTTAATTTTGAAATTGATGAGGGAAGATGACAGCGAGGTAATCAACATCTTGTTGCATCGTACTCTTTTTCTTTTAATATTTTTAGACCGCTTGAAATTTTCAACGTTAAATTTCAATATCAGAGGTTATTTATTTATTTTACTGAGGCATATTGAAGCTTTGTTGAAGCTTGTTAAGTGTTAGTTGAATAATTTTCAATGTTGAAGTTATACAGACTTAGGATTTTTAATATATATATTTTTATTTATATAGCACATCGTATTATGTACTTCTTGTGGTATAAAGTTATTATTCAACTTTTCGAAACAAACATAACATACATGTTCTAAGATTTTTAATTTAGTACTTCGGCAACTATGGTATTCTGGTTCTATATAAGAATACAAATCTTTTACTCTTTTTTTTTAAGTTTCTTATCGACTCTTTTACTCTTTTTTTTTTTAAGTTTCTTTAAATCGTTGAATTTTTCGAAATTTCTTCCTGCACTTTTTTCGAGTATCTCAGACGAGGTGATTTAAACGGTTGATAGGATCTCACGCCCTTCACTGTTTATAAGAGAAACGGTTTTTCGAGCGAGTTTTAGTGGAAGTTAAGGTTAGATCGTGCGCGAAGCGTCGCTGTTCGAGGACGAATTACGAGACGGTGCGTGAAGGACGCGTGGAAAGAGAGTATAGCATGCGATACGGTACCTACGAACCCCCTCAAGGTTGCTCATAAATTCAACCATCCACGAGCCCATATTATAACCGTTTGCTCATTACGTATTCCAGACGCGTCGGACACTGAATTTTCGTCGGCAGTCGTAGCCGAACTAAATTTTGCTAATTTTAATCTTCACTTTGGACAGCTTTGCAACAACAATTGATCTATCCCACTTTAATTTAGTGAGAATACCTATGTGCTCTTCCACATTCTTTACAAAAAGTTCTTTTCAATCGAAGATTTTATAACACGATATTTTAAATTTCAAGCATCACCGGGTTTAGTCCATAATTTAATAATATTCTCTTTGCAATCATAATGTCGTAAAACTTTTCGACTATCGCAGCACTTTGACGCACCAAATATTTTACAAGTAGCGATACTGCAACGAACACTTGAAATATATCTGGTTATTCGAAAATATATTTTCCGTAACACAGATTAATCCTCCACGAATAGCGTTAAAATCACTTAATTTCAACGTTGAGATTTCCTTTTTCTCCACTTACATACTTTGATCAGATTTTACACTGCAATCAGTTAAGTTAGTTAAATACTATAATAAAAATTCAATAAATATATAAATATATGCATGGCATAATAAAATGAAGGAAAAACGTCCTGAATGTATCCTGCATATCATAGCAAAATTACTCATTATAGAAAAGTATAAAAGTATTGTATAAACATAAAAAAAAAATGTAATACTATACGTAGATCGTGAGAAAACGGACGATGATCGAGCGACAACCCCGGAATCATTACGCAGCAGTAGCCCAGTATCTTCACCACCACCACAATGGCAATCGACGAACGCACCAAGCAACACATCAAACAGTACGCCAACGAATGCACCAACCAACACACCAATCAGTACAGCACCACGGCGATTCATTTCGAGTATTCTCGGCGGAGATATCCCGTACGGAAGCAGAGGACACGTTATGACTAGGGCGGAACGTAAGGAATACAGTA